AGGTCTTGGAGGGAGGCGGTGGGATTTAAAAAGCAAAAAAATGTGAAAAGAGGTAGTTGGTATGGGCTGTTAGGCTAGGCACAGATGGCTGGTGTTCAGGGACTTTGCAGGAGGTATGGAAGGAGGTGTATCCAAGCTGCTACAGGAAAGAGAATTGGACAGTGTAAAACGTTAGAGCTACTGGTGTGCAGCAGCAGTTGCTTAGCTTCATCCAATGGGGTAGATTAATTTACATCTCTGTTAGATCACTGTTTTCAATCATGATTTAAATGAGCAAGCAGGAAATGTGATTTAAGTTGGTTTATCAAGTTTTACATCTGTGCTTCAGTTACCTTTCTAAAAGCCATAGTGTAGTCTGTACCACCGCAGAAACCCTTTGCTAACACAGTGAATATATCTTTCTATTTAAACAAGTATGCCATTTACTATTTGCTTTGGTTAATATATTTTTTCCATTTTCTGTTTAAAAAATGATGAATGGTTATTTTCTTATTTGCTTGATTAATTTTTAACTTCTGAATTTCATCAGGTTACATTTGGATGGAAATTGAAATCCAATTAATGAACAAACCCAGCATTTAAAATTGTTTTCACTAGTTAAATGTGCTGGATATAGATGAAAACTCCTTATCAAGCCTGGCTTGTGTTTAAAGCATACTGATTTCTGCAGAAACAAAGCAAGTATTATCAGCTGTTTATGAACTGAATTAATTGCTTCTGGTCAGCATGATCTTCAAGAATCTCTTTCCTAGAATGAAGAAGTCTAGGCTCCTGAATCTGGGTTTCTGGAGCTCTTTTTTTCTTTTTTTTTTTTTTAATTCTAAGAAATTAAATTCTCCATCCTCAGATGAACATCCTGGTGCTATCTGTGTGCCCCAGCTACACGAGACAAACTCCTCTCCCCAGAGCCGTATTCCTCAGGTGTATGCAGGCCTCCTGTCCCACCGCCCAGAAGAGTATGTAGCTTGTCTTGGGCAGTTTGGACCTGTTCAACGTTACGTGGCCTAGTCCTGAGCCCATCCCACAGGTATTGCTAGGGCAGAAGAGGTGGTCTGTCCATCACAGACCTCGGAGACAGTTACAAATTAGGGTGGGTGTATGGACTGTGTACATCTTGGAGAACCCAGGTTGTTATTTTAAAACACTTTTTCCATGCTTCTGTCAGCTCCCAGGTCTAGTCTTGAATAAACTGTTTACTTATGCTTATACTTAGGGGAAATAAAGTGAATGGGGAGGAAGAGAGAATTGTACAGGATTCTCCATGTACAGGAGACCTTACTGTTGGCAAAAAAAATTAATTGAAGACTAGCTCCATGACTTAATGAACTTTACAACTTCAGTAATGAATGCACACCACTTCAATGTTTAGACTGAGAAGCATTTAAATTTCAAAATATTCTGTTAAGACCCTTACAATTATGAAGGAAGAAAGATGAACTGCAGGATGATCTTGAGTCGTTACAGACAGTTATTCTCAAAGATATATGTATACATGTATTTTAGTTTTTAAATTTTAAGTACATGTTTAAGCAAACTTGGCCTTGCGAAGGGAGTGAACGTTGAAGCTTGGATTCCACACAGTGGGGAAATTAGTTGCCTAAATTTAGTGCTTCTAACATATGCTTAAGATCTAGGAATCTATTTCTGATATAACTCATGCTAGAAGTTCCTGGAAAGCTCTATGACTTATGTGGTGTGGCATGGGGAAGATTAAATTATAGTTGATTTTCTTCCATCCTAAGATCCCCAGAAGCATCTGTAAGATTGATGGGTGGTGTAGTCATTGCATTACGGTTTGATGTTTCTTTTGGAGGATGGTCTTCCAGTAAATACAAAAGGATTTTAAAATTACTGTGGGTAAGGAGGTGGACAGATAATAAATTGAAGTTGGTGTTATGATACTCCCTTAAAAGCCTTAGCTAGACTTGTTTTCTGCCAGAAGAAAAAGAGAGCTGCTGTTTTTGATGTTCATGCTTTAAAACAAATCAAACAGTATGTTTTTTTGAGCGGTTAAAAATCAGTGTGGGTAAGGAAATGGACATAATTTCTCTAAATCCTGTGTGCTGTTATACTGGAGAGAAATTTGGTTACATGTATGGGCCAATGTGCTCCTGTAGGCAAGAATTCGAAAAATGACGACGTATAAACAGTCCAGTATTGACAGATTCTCCACTGTTCCTTAATAAACATGTATCACTGTTACACCAAAATGGAAGTTTAATGTTAAAGAACCCCACTCACTCACACAAAACCAATAAAACCAGGTCTTTTAGAGAAAAAAAAGAAGTTGGAATGTATCAACAAGTCAAAACTATGAGGAGGGAAGGTGGGAGAGCGCTATAGTGAGCTGACTGTACAGTTGAAAAGACACACGTACATCTTCTGTCTTTCACTGCCTTTGCCCATGTTCCGTGTTTAAGGCTGAGGCAGCAGAAAGGAATTTCAGTGGGGAATTGAATCTAGCCAAGAAAGTGGCTTGAAATCAAGCTTTGGGAAGAAGAGAGGAAAACTCTGCTGCAGGCAGATGGGCAGCAGAGGGAAGGCAGGAAATATCTGCAAACAAAAGTATTGGAGTTTGATTTGTTTCTGTGGTAGAGGGATGTATGGAGGTGGGTTTAGGTAGAAGCTGGGTAAATTCTTGAAAACCAAGGCAAGTTATGTGCTTGACCTGGGGCAGCGTTGTACGAATTAGCTGGAAAGTTTGCATTAGCTCAAAGTTTAGCTGGAAGAGGGTGGCTGGAGTTGTGTGTGGCAGGGAAAATGTTGGCAGTGGACTTTGGCAGGGCCTGGAGCATGTGTGGACAATTGGAGGGTAGGGGTCAAGGAGATGAGTGAGCAAAGGGTTGGCTAAGCTGCCTGCACCTGGATCGGAAAGAGAGGCTGCCTCTACACCCATTGCAGTTGGGATGGGTCCTTGCAACCAGACCGGAAAAACCTGAATGCCTTGTGAATATATAGCTGTTCAGAAACAGTTTTCCAAAGTGGTGAGAATAACCGAGTAGCTACAGTAGCATTTCCAAATCACTGGAAATCTTGCTGGATTCGCAATGAGCATGGTAGAAGGACTTAGAGTGAGTACGCTCACAGGATGTTTGCAATAATAGGAGGAGAAAATGAGTAATCTTCTGGATAGCGCTTCAACTTATATACTGAAGTGACTGGTATCTTTCATTACAAATATGTAGTTTCAGGGCGTAGTTTTGAGATCATTTTAAGCTGATCTGTAGGCAGATTGAAAGGGGTGTTCCCACCTTTTCCCATGCCCTGACCTAATTGTTGTTGCTTCCTCCCTTGTTCCAGGACTGCAGCCCGCGCGGCTCTCTGGTTTATTTAGGTCAGGGACCTGCTGCCTGCCTTAAAAATCAGCTGGACCTACAGTCCTGCTGGCCACAAGGCACAGAGGGCCGTGGGGAGGCTGGATGTGGAGGGCTGCAACCTGTGCCCGGGAACACAGGGTGAATTGTGCAACTGTTGTGATCACCTCAAGCAACTGGCAGAGTGCGTTTCTATTCTCAATATCCTATTTTGGGGTTTCTTCACCTGGTATGTGGAGCTGTGCCTGGAATTTGTTTCCCCTGAGGTTACAGTTGACTTGTGTTTACCAAAAATAAAGTGGTAAAACTTGGAAACAAGCATTTTGTTCTGATTTGTTTATGGTTAATGAACTGGGACTTTGCTTCCCCTTGAAAGAAGTTACTGAAATTTAAAAATAAGCAGAGATAGCCTTTTTAGGATTGCAGCTGCTTTTTGCTTTGTGTTGCATATAGCGTATCTTGTTCTGAAAACGTCCCAGAAAAAGCTGCTTTGGTGAGCTTCTGTATGTGGGTCTGTGTCCCTACTGAAATATGTAAGTGAGCAAATCGGCACGGTGGGTCCCACGCGCTTGGGCTGGTCTGCTGCACGGTGGGCACCAAGAAAGCGAGGATAAGGAACGCTGCGTTGTCTTCAAATACCTTGGTGGGAAAAGGGCTTGTTGGCTTTGCCTTGTTGAGGATGAGCAAAACAAATTCTGAAAATGCATGAGGGCTACATAGCGGAAGAAATGCTTTGAAGGGGGGTGTGTGTCTTAAATACCTCCCGACTCACAGTAAGGCGTGTGTGAAATGCTGTTGAGAAGTAACCCTGCTTTAAGTGGATGGATTAATGGTGTGGTGGTGTAGTGGGTACTCAGCTGTGCTCCGTTAGTCCGAGACAAACCCTCCTGAGGCTGGTGTAATAGTTAGGGCTCATTGTGGCGTATGCAACCCTGCAGTTCGATCATCGCTATGCAGCATGTAGGGAGGGTCTCAAGTGTTGTGTTGTGCGCTCCAGCTGGGGCATCTGCCTGAAAGCAATAGGAAGCTGCGGTCGTGCCTGATATCGAGTGGGTCCAACGTTAGGGTCTTCTCGCTCTAAGAATGCCTAATCTGGTGTTTAATTTACTAGCCTGCTTGAGGCCTGCTGCCAAGGCTCCAACTGTTGCATAATGTTACACAGGAGGAATCGCTGGCAGTTTTCAAGCTGGCTATCATTCCAGATCACTCCCACACAAAGGAAATTGTAGCATATATGTAACTCTGAGGCTTTTTGTGCTGCTCTCAGCACAATCTAAAATTAAAAAAATAACTAGGAAAACTAGAAAGAGTTTGCCTGCTCAGGCCGTAGCCCCTCTGCTTGTAGCAGCCTCAGCTGCAGGGTCTTGCATGCGGAAAAGAATCCAGACAGGTAAGAACGAAAGCCTCGCAAAGAGGCAACACCGCAATCGTTTTTTAAAACTCTAAGTGTTAAAATTGCAAGTATTTTATAAAAGATGAAGAATCCTCTTTTGGCTCAAACTGTTCTTTCATGTTCTGTGGATTTTGTGATTCCCAGAAAAAGCCAGACCCTTAGTATTCAGACATCATAGGGCATCATAAGATTTCCCCTTCCTCTCCATGCATGCCTGTTCTGTACCCGTTTTCCTGTCAGTCTGCAGTGAATGTTTTTGAACATTACAAATCATATTTCCTTCTTCCCCACAGCAACAGCCCGAGTCTGAGACTGTTCATCTGTTCATCCCAGCCTTGGCAGTTGGAGCTATTATTGGCAAGCAGGGACAGCACATCAAACAACTTTCTCGTTTTGCAGGCGCATCTATTAAGGTATTATTACACTGACTAACTTTCTGTCTAGTCTTCGTGACACTTCCAGCAAGTTTGCACAAGCCGTGTTTTCATGAATGTCCTCCCCCACTCTGTGCTTAGAATGTGATGTGATAAATGGTACATTTGTTTATAAATCATCTTTTAATCTTCCTTGAGACAAGATAATTAGAAGCATGTTTTCAAACGTCTCCTGAGGTGTGAAATATAAGCTGCAAAGAAAGCTACTTTGGTGGTCTTGATTTCTTAGAAACAGACTTAAGTCTTAATGACGCAGTGCTTAAAGGCTTTCTTCTTGCTTTCAGTAAAGTGAAAATGGGTGAGGTGAACTCCACCTGTGCTGCTGGCTTTAGAATGGAAGTCTCCTACTGCTGTGGCCACTCTTGCTCTGTTCCAGATGGGTCGGTCTGGGCTGTCAAGCTCAGGTGGCTCCACACTGAAGCGTTTGCGTTTTAAATCGCCCCTCTACTCCAAGCTCCTGGGCTTGGTCAGTTCTTCAATATAACCCTGCTTTAACATCCAGCTCTCTGTGTGTTGGCCGCCTTAATGTAGCGAAGGAGACGACAGTTTGACCTAATGGAAGCTTGAGTCTGAATTTGAGTCCGTTGGGTGAAATCCTCCGTGGCTGTGTGCAGGGGTTAGCATCAGTTGCAGTTGTAGGAAGACCTTGGGTTTCCGCTACTAATGACACTGTAACCACAAGTATCTTCATAGCTCCTTGAGCTTTTTTCTTATGAATAGCCCTTTCTGCTATTCTATGCTGTAAAGATAATGTTTTGGCCTAAATTAAAAAAAAGTATAGTGTGCAGCTTCATGTGCTGTTAGACTGACACTTTCCTGCCTGCACAGAAGAAAATGTTGTCTTCCCAGGTCCCTTTTTGCTCAGGAGATGGGGCCAGTAGTAGTGAGTGCTGTGGCAGGGATCTGCCAAAGGTCAGGGGCAGAGGGGCAGGAGCTGGCCGTGCTGGGATGAGCTTGATGAAGCCAGCGAGGCTGGGCTGGGTTGGAAGGTGTTCGTCTAAGCATGCAGCACAAAATAATTGGGTAACCCTGATGAATGAGTCTTGTGTGTGGTTTGCCAAATGCCGATCCATTTACTGGCCAGTCAGCCGACTGGCATGTTGCTCAATTCCATCTTTTATTGAGCAGTACATTAAATCGTTGTTATACCACCCAGATGGTTTACATTAGTAGAGCACCAATAATCATTTTCTAGGGGGAAAAATGCAATAAAAGAAAGTGAGTGTGTTGATTTTCTTTTTATCAAATCTGCCTTGCATGGAGGTGTGACATCACATATATTTCCTATTTCCATAGTTTGTATCTAAAGATTAAGTGGTATATGAAAGGGATTACTAGGTGGAGGGAGCGATGTGAAATAACCTGGACCTCCAAGAACCCGTCCAAACTGGTTCTTTAGTTGGTCCTTGGAAGGCAGCTTAGTGGAAAGGGAGTTTCCCACGTTTCTCACACATTTGACTAACGGTGGCCTCAGGCTTCCTCTATTGGCTGGCACCCCTCTACCTAACACATTTAACATACCTGGATACACTGATGTTCAGTTAAAAGTTTGCTAAAGCTCTGGCCTTCTGTCCCTTCAGTAGGAATAATGTGAAGATTTCTGTGGAAATGCAATTAAATCGTAACAGAACTGTACAGATCCAGGGTATGCTTGCTAACTTGGCGAGTTGCATGTGTGTTTATCAATTACAATAAAAGTGCAACTTCATCTGCAATCTGACAGAACAGTGTGGAGCAGCACGCTTGGTTCTGTGTGTAAGTCAAGTGTTAAATATGACCGCTAGTAGTAAGTTCTTCAGAACTTCCCTTGTGTTGACTACCCGCCCTTTATCGCAACTTTTGAGCAAAATCATAGGTTGTGAATCACCAGGGAATCTGTGCTTTTAGCTCGGAGTTGGAGGGAGTGCTGCCTGAGTAATTTAACTTGCCGAACTCCAGCGATCTCGCTTTGTGGAGGAAGTACGTCCTTGCGCGTGACACTCTGAACTCGTTTTGCCTTGTGCTGTAGGTTGTTACAGATGAAAGTGTTTTGCATCCCCGTGCATCATCTTTGTGTTCGTGCTGAGCTTTGGAGATCTGATGCAACTTGTTAGCCACGAGGTACCACTAAACAAACCGCAGCGCATCGGGGTTCCACGCAAGGCTGCGGTGTCCAGCCCGTCACTTCAGAGGGGCACGTGGCCGTTGATGAGCCCAAGCCGTGTCTTGTGCTAGGGGTCATTGTTTGGTACTGCAGGCTCGGTGTGGGGCTCCAGCAGACCCAATTATCCAGCAGAGGAGCCAGGCAGAGCATTCTGGGCTGTCTGCTGCCCACCCTGTACTACAGTGCTGGGACCTGTTGGGAACCATTGGCATCTCCTTGGTTAGAAATTGTTTCCTGGAGAGGCCCTTCCTGTTTCTGAAGGAGCTGAGATGAGCATTAGAGCTTTTGGGTGTATGGAGTTGTCAGCTTGTGACTTGGCATATGGAAAACCAGTTGTTTTCCAGATAGGAATGTACAACTACTACTCTCGGAAGTTAAAAATTCACCACTTGAATGCTATTTGTATGTATGTAACCTCTCCTTCCGAGAGCAGACAGACCAAATGAACGCTGAAGTGTCTCAGGTTGTCTCTGCAGATGCTGAAAGGTGAGCTGGTACATGTTCCCTTCGCAGCCCTCAGCTGTGTTTTACTCCAGCTGCTGAGAACAGGACATCTGAAGATAAAAGCCAAGCAAGAAAGGCCCCAGAACATTTAAAGACGTGTCAGATGTAACGAAGGCTCAATGGAAAACACTTTCCCTAAGATGTCAGTAAAGGCAGGTGCTCACTAAGAGAACAGGTGGTGACCGAGAGGCAGGCGACAATGCCCACTTTACATGAATGGTGACTCTCGGGCTGAGCTCTGTCCAGTCAGCTGCCTCCAGATGTGCCTCAAAATGTTGCCCCTCTAGAATACTTGTGTTCCAAAGAATGAATGGGTTTAGTCTGTGCTCACCCTTACCACCATGTCGTGTCTCATAAATGTACTGCTGTGGAATGAATGTGTATTTTTAGATAGAGCCAATTGGAATGCAGCAATCGTACGCAAAATAAATATGCAAACCAGATAACTAGTATGTAATGTCTTCTCCATCTTAGGGTACAATATGAATAATTATATAAACTTTGGTTAGCAAAATTCTTCAGTGAAAATGATGCATGGTGACTGGTAATTTGTCTGAAATAAACTACAGCTGTTAAATATGAATAACATCCCTATGCCAACAGCTAAGATGAAATCCTGTAGCGTTTAATATATTGCCCATTCAACAGTGGCTATGTAATACTAGATGCAACAATGGAAATGTCAGTTGTGATAAACAAAAGCTTCATCCAGAATGTCAGAGGCTAGTTTGAATTATTTAATGCCACTGGAGTCTGAGAACAACACCCACAGAAATCTTACTTTTGTGGTGACATGAACTGCTAAAGACCCTGCAGGCGTCTCTGTCTCGGCTCTGGTGGAGCTTAATTTTTATTTGGGTCACACAAATGTCTGTAGATACAAACCCTTTGGAAACTGCGAACGCATTGTCCAGTATAGAGGAATGTTTTGGATCTGATTAGTTACACCAGTAAAGGGATCTTCTGTTCTCAGGGGGACAGATGCAAACTTTACTAATGAGCAAAACTTGTTAGAAAGACGAGATAAGTTAGCGGGTAGGGATGAGAATCTTGGTCTATTAACCATACTTGTCTTTTTGAAGTCTACATTTCTTACAGCACTCCTAGACACATGAAAATGGCTTGTGGGATTTTGCCATATGGAGATGAGTAGCTATGCTTTTAATTTTCAGAAGTAAATTTGCTTATGGATTAGCCAATTTCTCCGTATTTCATTACAGCTAATTAATGCGCTTTAAAGAGAACATGACTGAAGGGTAATGCTGCTGCTGTAACGAATAATTTTTCACTCTTGAACAGAATGTGAGACTGAAATGGGAAGGAGGTGGCTTTAAACTATTCCTTCAAAAGGCTGCTACCAAAAGCTATGTTTCTCCATTCCAGATTGCCCCTGCTGAAGGACCGGATGCCAAGCTGAGAATGGTTATCATCACTGGACCTCCAGAAGCTCAGTTCAAGGTACAATATATTAAAACCTTGTCAGCCCATGGTGGCCTTTGGACCTCTAAGGGACAACACTGAAAAAGCTTGGTTCCAAGAACCATTTTATCCAGAATTTTAGCGAATGCTTGTTTTTTGCTTTCCTTTTGCCGAAAGGTATCCCTTATGAATGAGTAGTACGGTACTATCAAAGGCCACATCCTGGTCACGTGAAAACTGGTGGGAGTTTCATGTAAGTTAGAATCAAGCCTAGCAGGAAAGCAGGGCCGTATTACATTCCTAATTTTCCCTTTTATTATGAGCACATCCAGTCTTTCTAGCCTGTCTTAATACATGCAACAGTTTAGTGTGTTTAACTGAAATAACAAAGCTGACAAGAAGAGAGACTTGAGTCTTCCCAGGTTACTGTTGCGTGCCAAAAGGAATATGCTTTTTGGGTAGCTCTACAGACAAATGCAAGATTTCTAATTGTATTTCCACTACAAGTAGGAGATACTCCAAGCTGATTATTCCATTTGTGTTCAAATTGAGTTCTGGACTGATCTTCTGCCTTAAGTGCCAAGGGATAAATCTAGTTACCCCAAAAAGGGGTTGACCATGTCAAGAGTGATGCAGACAGCTCGGTGCAGCAGCCTGGCCTCCTCACAGATGAGGCCCAGAGGAGGTAGAAAGTCACTTGAGAGTTCATGTCCTGGCATCGTTCTCTTGCCTGTTCTTGTCTTTGTATTTTTGCTTCAGGGCATCTTCCAAGAAGGAGGTGCACAAACTTCAGGTGTATCTAGAATCGGTTTCATTAATGCCTTTAGGAGAATTGGGGAAGTATCAGGAGGGGTGTTTTGCAGTGGTAATAGCAAACTAGCTGCATTTGGGATTATTGCTCAGTTACCATATTCGTTTGAGAAGCTACTGAAGGAAAAGTATCGTTCAGAAGTTCTCACTCCTTGAGGTTTTCTGTCTGCATGTGGGTTTGGCCACATGGCAATGTCTCATATATGGGGTGCTCTTGTGATCTGGGATCAACACAAGGTCAGGTTCTGGCTACCTTTTCTTTCCATCAGATACCAGTGAACATACTCTCAAGCAGTAGCAGGCCAAAGTAGATTTGGGCATCCTTTATCCTGACTTTTCATGCAGGCAAAGGCTCTGTCCTCAGGCTTCCTCCCTAAGATAGACTTGAAATTCCCACAGAGTTCCTTTGCCAGCTCTTCTCCCCAACCTGGGTCACGCAAGGAGGAAAGTTTCCCTTTCCTTCACCCCATACATTGGTTAAAACCATGTCAGTCAGTCACTTCTCTACACTTGCGCTCCTGCTTGCAAAGAGGGATCAAAGTGCTCACGCAGCTGATGCTCCTGAGTGTGCTGGTCTTGTGAAGGAGAGGGGTTATCCCTTTGAGGGCAGGAGCTGAAGGAAACCCATAGCCTTTTACTACTCTTTGAGCCACATCTTCTTGACTGAGATGGGCAGAGGCAGTGGTCAGGCCTTTCTTTTATTGCCCCCGTTAACCTGAAGTATGCCTCACAGTCAGGGCCAAGCTTCGTTAATGTGTCCTAAGCTCTGTGTAAGAAGGATCTTCCCTACCTTTGAGCATGGGCTATTGCTTCTTAGGCACCAAGGAGGTACTCTAGGTGCACAACAACTTGAAGAGGGAATAGCTGCTGCTCAAATGAGCAACCAGCTCTTGGAGAGGTGGCGTCATCCCAGAGCGCCCTACTACATTGTGTTCTGCTGTCTGTGATTCATGTCCATGGTAGCTGCAGCGGCTGTGCCCCGTTCTTCCTCAGCTGCAGTAGCCTGAGGACGTTGCGGTATGCAGGGCTATTTATTACCCAGGCAATGGGGAGAGAATATGCCGCTGTTTACGGCCTCTGCTGCAGTGCTCCCTAGAGTTTAGGCATTCCCGTGACACCAGTACTCGGAGGCGATTGTGTTACCTTGGAGCTGGGACATAGGCAAGCAAAGCGGAATCCAGTGTAGACAATGTACTTCAGCCACTCCTTTAGTGCGTGAGCCCTGCAGCCCAGTCAGGTTGTTTCCTTTCCTTAAAGACTTTTTCAAGAGCAGAAAGATTTGGGATGTTGGAAGTACACCTGCTCTCTCCCAAAGAGTCAGCATCCCGCCTTGCTTTACAATTCAGCAGTAACCTGCGCTTTTTGCCTACGGTACCTCTCCCACTGCGCCCTGTCAGGGCGTTTGGCATGTGAAAAGCATGGCTAGTGACATAAAAAGGGCAATGCTGGCTACTGTCTGTCTCTAACAAATCTGGAAACGACTTCAAACTCTCCAGCTCAAGATGATGACTGGGAATAGTAATTTATCTGTTCTTGGCAAACCCTCCTGAAGTGCTTTCCTGGAGCAGGAGTCTCCGGTTGTAGGGCTGCTGATGGTGCCAGAGCGTGGCAGTTGTACCAAGCTTTTGTAGGGCTTTTTTGCATAGCCTTTCGTCTCGCTGGCAAGATGCTAGCTTTTGTCCACTGTGATGGGATCCCGTGACCCGCAGTATCCCACCCACCTAGGTCAAAGCCCTGCGCTACGGATGTTTCCATGCTTTTCAGGTGGAGTCTGACCCAAAACACGGAGTGCTTTCAGCTCCAGGGTCGCAGTATGTTTTTCATCTTACCCATTCTAGAGTAGCATGCACTTGAGTAGGCTTCTAGAACGTGAGCTAGAAAGGGGATCAAATCAATTGCTGCTGCTTAAAATAATTATTACAGCATACAATCTTTCGGGACTTTTCACGTCCCACCGCAGCGATGGCCTGTAAGAGGGCTGGATTTAGCTTGTATGCAGTGCCCTCGCGCGTGACTTAAAGAAGGCGATAAAGAATCTGAACTGGAAAAGCTTTGTGGTCTGAGGTTCATGGTCTTCACAGGGCATGTCTCCTCAGTATCTCAGTAGAAGTTGTTCTTTTGATGCCTCTGGGAGATGCAGAGTAGAAGACCTGTTTCCCTTCTCTCAGGAGTTCACTGACGAACAGCAGAGAATAAGGAAATGTGCTTTAAGATCAGCAAGGTTCACAAGCTTTGTCTTGGTGGACGTTCTTTTTGCCACCCGGCACTTGTGTGTTCCCCGGAGAAGGGCACCGCGCGCTGGTCAGTAATGCCATTCCCATGGTGCTACTCGGACATAGGCAGTTTGACTTTTCACTGTAGAAAACTGAGCAAGTTCAGATTTATTTATTTTTAAACAATATGTTGTAATGGGTCATGAAAATAAGCTGTTTGCTCTAATTGGAGTCTTTCATGACTTGTTGGGGGGAGGTGGGATTGTGGCTTTTTTTTTTTTAGTTTAGCGGCCTTGAAAGAATGGGTTTCTGAGCTGATTAATTACACCCAGAAGCACAGAATGCAGTAAAATGCTTCAGCCGGATGGTCCTTCTCTCCACCACTCTCTACCTCTAGAGAGATGCGACGGTTTCTTTTCAAAGCAGCATTTCTACTGAAAAGCAGAATAATAATGACCTCAGACTGCTCTGCCATTCCCTGGTGTGTCACGCCACCTTTAACGCTGGGCAGCGGTGCTTCCTAGCTTGGTACCAAGACTTCTTCTGGACAAATAGCTGTAGCTGTTAGGGAAAAGCTTTATGAGGGTTGTGTACTGAGAGTTCTCCGTTCTGTGGAATTGCCTGAAGTTAACCAGACTCGGGTAAGCGTGTTCTCTAACTGAAAGCGTTCTTGCAGGCTCAAGGGAGGATCTATGGAAAACTTAAAGAAGAAAATTTCTTTGGACCTAAAGAAGAAGTGAAACTTGAGGCTCATATAAAAGTGCCATCTTATGCTGCTGGTAGAGTTATTGGTAAAGGAGGCAAAACGGTAAGTAGCTGAAATACAACGCTCAGTGTTGTTCAATGAGGTCTCTTATTTCGCGGTGCATATACACGTAAGGCTTAAACATTTAGCTAATAGCTGACTCTCCGAGGTTATGTTAAAGCAGGTGCCGTGCTCTTAGATGCACTTGTTAAGCTTTCCGTTCCTCCAGCACGGAGTCAAGAGAGGCTGATCTCAAAGAACGATTCATTTCATCTGAAAAAAGAATAGTCTAACAAATCAGTCATCCCAGTCAGATCTGCAGGGCTTTACTTAACAGAAATGCAGTTCTCCCATTCAGAATGAATTATGTTCCCACTCAAGATGGGCTTCTGTGAACCTTAGCTTATGTCAGATTTTACTGAGGTTATTTAATAAAAATCAAATGCAGTGTGTCCAAAGGTGGCATTTCTGGCCAAAACTGAGCAGAAGCATAATTTCTAATTAAGTGGTAGGAAATTAAGACATGTTTAGAGCTCAATATTACAAAACAAAACAACCAAAAACCAAAACCAACAACCAGTTGCTTCAACCTAACTGATGGCATTTCTTAGACTCAGTTTGTTGCATAAAATAACATCACTGAGACTTTTTCCAATCCCAAAAGGTGCTGGTACCCAGTATTTTTGTCGTTGCAAGCCAGGAGCTAGCTGATATTTGTGAAGAAATGGTTCAGTCTTGGGTCTCCATCCACAAGTGCAACAGGAGCCTGAAGTGTCAGGAGGCACCATGGCCTCTTTCCTTACTTGCAGCGATAAGAGGTTTAAGGACAAACGTGCCTGAGAAGTTGTTTGTCTAAGCCACTTTTGATTAAATTATGCTATTCTAAAATAAAGTGAGTGTAAGTGGGACAAAGACTCTAACTTCATGTCTACTTACCACTACAGAAGCTGGTAGGCTACTAAAAATAATTTGGACCCTTCTCATTGTCCTGTTAAGAGTTCTCCATCTTGTGGAGGGTTTCCAAGGAAAGAGAGAGAAATACTTGGACTTTTTTTTTTTTCTTCCCTACATTATCCATTGTATGAGCTTGCTGACCTTAAACTTGTCAACCGTAAACACTGTGGCATCTATTTGTTTTTTTAAGTCATGCATTTAACACCTTCTGTGTGTTGTCTTTAGTCTGTAAAACAGTTGTACAAACCTAGAGAACTCAGTGCTAATTTATGTTGGAGGCACAGGAGGTTCCTCTTGCCGGGTGCACGCTGCTGCACAAGGATGCTGTCTTGTTCGTGGGATTCTTTTTTTCATCGTGACTTAGAGGAGGATGTTCCTGTGGTCAGCACTATCTTTGAGGCTCAGTGGCTGTGGGAGATTTGTTTGTTTAAGGTTTTCTGACTTCTACTATTTATTTGTAGGTAAATGAGCTTCAAAACTTGACAAGTGCAGAAGTTGTAGTCCCTCGTGACCAGACACCTGATGAAAACGATCAGGTGGTTGTGAAAATAACTGGTCACTTCTATGCATGCCAGGTAGGAGAACTGGAATGGATTTCTGTATTACCTTGATGTTTCCACATGTATCCATGTGCAAAGCCAAGGGATGGAACACTTTCACTTGGGATACAGAAAGCGCTGCTTGCCAGGCACCTCTAATTACCTGGCTGCAATCAACCTTCCTCACGCCTGTGAGAGAGATTTGTAACACTGCATGGTTACGTAGATAAAACAATCTCCTTAAATTCTCCTGTGGATAGGTGTTGGCTCTGGCAATGCCGGAACTTTCAAAGCACCAGAAAACCCAAGTTGTGACTGGACTGAAACAGAGATGGAAGGGAGACACGAGCCATCTCTTGGTACCTGGCAAGAACTGCACCTACATGCACAACTTGCCGGCATTGCCCAATCTGTTGGCTTAATGCCAAGCAGAAAAGGATCACAGAATCCCTTCCCTCGCTTAACTCCTCAGTTCAGACCAATTCCTTTGGGTACTTTGCTACAGGTGACTTGTAGTTCAGAAGGGAGGTGGGAGGGCTGGTAAGTCTGACCACTTGGATTCCCCGGTGTATTAAGGAAATTGTCTGCTCTCTATTAAAACTGTTTTCTATAAAATGTTAGTATCTCCAGGGGCATGAAATGCAAGTAGCCTGTTGCCTCAGTAATCCTGATGTTGGTAGTCATCTTCCTATGCCCCTGCTTTCTGTGTTACAGATGTGAAAGCTGACCGTGCAGGTAGCTGGGGTAGGTGGAAAAAAGAGGAAAAGTTAGGAATGAGGTTGTAGGCCATGAATAACCCCAGCGTGTGTTAACGAGTAATCTGGACGAGGAATTCAGTTAGTCCAGATTTTCCTAATCCCTAATCCCAGCAGCATTGACAGTTGGTTGTAAACAAGCAGTCGCTGAAGCAGGGCATCATGATGGGTTGTTTCTTCTCCTTTATGTCCTTCAGCTTGCTCAGAGAAAAATTCAGGAAATACTGGCTCAGGTAAGAAGGCAGCAGCAACAGCAAAAAACATTGCAGAGCGGACAGCCTCAGCCCAGACGGAAATAAAGGTTTAGGAAACGGCCCAGCAGAGACAGATGCCAGACCAAAGACAGACTGTGCGACGGAGAGACGGGTGGCGAGTACCCGTCGGAGTGATATGCAGAAGATCCACCAAGCCAATCACCTGTTCGAGGACCAGGCAACCGCTGAACGCTGTCTCTGAGAATGTATTCTTTAGGCTCTCTCAAACTTTTGAAACCCAGCTTTAAAATAAGGACCCCTTCACTTCCCTTTTGTTCTATTCTCACAACTTAACATCAACTCGTTAGTCTTTTTTTATTGTTATTATTATTCCCCAACAATTTTAGGACTTGGTTTAATGAAGCTTTCTCTTCTGAGTTCACTGGTTTAAAAAAAAAAAAGAAAAAAAGAAAAAAAGAAAAAAGAACAGAAAAAAAGAAAAAAAAAAACACCAAAAAAGGCATTGCTCTTATAGGTCCAGCTGTAAAAGACGAACCACGTTTGGAGGGTGGGACTGCGGGTGGGCTAGGGTCAGAGCAAGGGTATTGACAAGAATTTAAGTGTTAGTCCCAACATTGAAACAAGTGGCATTTTTTAAAAAGAATTTGGTTGCATTTTTACATAACACTGCCATGAATAACCTAAGGGAAGTGTTGAATGGTGTTGGCCAGGGCATAAAAAGATAAATATGCATTTTACTAAACTACCTCAGGCATTTAGTACCTCAATGAGAAATTGTTCCTTTTTTGCTTTTTTGTTTTGGTATTTTGTATACTTTATAAAGCTAATAGTTCTTGAGCATTTTATTTTTTTAAAAAAAATTAAAATTTGATCAGCCACCAGCCAGGAGTACTACAGGCTTACCGGGGAAAACTATAGTAGAGCACTTCTAGCTGCTGGCTGATGGGAGTAAGGTGGGTAAAAAAAACACAGCCTCAGGTTTTCTGGGGGCTTCAACACCATCATTTGTTTAAAAAAAAAAAATTCAGTGAATGTTCAAAAGATAGTGAACGATGCCAACATTCTGATAGCAGCAATGCCGTTTAGTTTTCTTTTAAGATGGGATGAAAAAGTTTGTGACGGTACTTTTTTGGGAACAGGACAAGGAAGTGATGGCAAGAGGCTGGGGTTGGGGGAAAAATTTAGAAGGCTGCAAGAGGCTGAATTTTTTTTTTTGTGCTACTTGATTGAATGCATGAACCCTTTGTGCCTTTGACCATCACTACCTAATAATGCTACATTTAACCATTTGCAGCCCATTTGGACTTTGCCATTTTGTTCAAAGAGCAAGCTTCATCTTCAGTTTGATAGAACACTCAATCTGCTCGAGCGTACTGGAGGCCGGGAGGGTCTCTGCTGCCTGCAGATCCCATCACACTGCTTTCAGTTACCACGACGGGGGAAGGTCAAACAGTGTTTGATCGCATTGAAAGATAACGAAAGGCTAAGTTTACATATCCAGCCGCTGTTATGGGCCACACTAAGCCACTTTGAAGGTTTTAAAAACAAGAACGGATAGAAACAGCCACCTGTCTAGCCTGGCTTATAATAGATGCAGCAGGATTTATGCACGTTCTGCAACCAACCATTAGAGACGAAAACAAAAACCATGTCAAAAGGCAGGGATAAGAGGAAAGTTACCAAATTTTTTAATTTCCGAATGTAATTTGAATGATGATTGTGGTAATAGTGACACATTCAAGTTTCTACAATAAACTCCAGTCTACCTCAGTTTAAGAAAAAGAAATATGTGGCAACACATGGTGCATAAAGACTGCTGTGTGTGTGTGTGTGCGCGTGCACGCCTGTATGTGTGTGGTCGACAGAGCCATGCTATTACCTCTGAACCTTTTTTTTGTGATGTTTTTTGTGCATGAGATGATCAGAATCACCATGCTGCACTGATTTGAGGGGCACAACGAGCAAAACCATTTGTTTCATCATTTTGTTATCTACCTCCTAGGTTCATGTTGAAATAGAGGCATTACTACATAGACTAGATAATTTTCCCAAAGATCATTGTTGTACAGATTAGATAATTTTGAAGATGGTCTGAAGTGTTTTTTCCTGCATCTCTTCTTTACTAATTGGTTTAAAAACCACAAACTTATGTTGTAGTTTAGCAAAGAAAAATGAGTTTCTTTTCCTTTTTTGACAGTGACCTTCATCTAGCCTTTAGGATAATTTTTTTTCTTACAATGAATTTAAAATTACTGAAGTATGAAAAGTCATAGCATTTTAATTTTTGTTGAGGCTTGAGTCAGTCTGACGTTCCTTTCTTAACAGTTGAGAAGGATCCGACTTCCTTGTTTTCCATAAAAGTGACTTGATGAATAGGCGCTGCATTTACATCTGCTGATTTAAATACTGTCATCTCTCTGAAATTTCTAGACTTAGTATGGTAAATCATGTTTTTCTTTTCAATGGAGACTTGGTAATTTGGAGTATTTGGGAATAGCTAGAAAGTAAATACTGTAAATGATTTCAATATCCACAAAGTATGGATCATTTTTCATCTGTAATGTGCCCCCCAATGCAGCTCCACTTGCCAGATGCCTCTGAATGGAATAAAGAGTTTAACTCCTATCATCAGATAAAGTCGTGTGGTGTTTTTTTAAACGAAGGAGGCACAGGGGCAGACTCCCCTCAGTGTCTGTGCTGCTTTGATCATGTCAGTTTTCTGTCTGTAATAATGACTGGCTACAGGCAACCACTCACCTGCAGGTACTCCATAGCTGCCAGGCCAGCCAGCAGCCATGTCTGCACTACAACAGTCCCCTCTGTGGCTTCCAACTCCTCTCCCTCTCACCTAACAACGCTCTAGTCCATAGGACAACCTGCAGTCCATGGTTTCGGACTCAGGCTGGTCTGCCGCGGAAGGGACGTGTGCTCAGCAGTCCTGCCCCGGGGCAGACGCGAAGGAACACCGACACGTTTAATGCAAGACCTGTATGTAGTGAAACTTCAGGGTTTGGCTGCTTTTCATCCAGTCTTCAGGCTGGTGCTGTCAGCGTGATGAAGGTGGCCTTGGAAGCCTGGGTAGGCAAGAACCAGTCACGCTAGCGAGCGGATGGGGTGGCAACCTCTATCTTGCTCCTACCACCGCCCAAACACAGGCCCGTTGCCCGTGAGGAAGTACTGCCCCTCTGTTTTAGATCCCTGTTGACACTGCTTGGAATGGAAATGAGATGTTAACTGAGTGCTTCAAAGTGAGAGGGCGGGGTTGGGGAATGAAGGAGCACCATGAATAACAGAATTCTGTTATCTTTTAAAGAAGAGTGGAAAACCAGACTTGTTTTCCAAACTCTTGTACCTTCCCTCACGTCTTTGCAGCTCATTTACTGTGACCAACCAGCTGGAAGAGGGAATTGATGAAATGATGTCTGGAGAGGACTCTGCATAGGGCAGGGCATTTCACAGGGAACTCCCAGCTCATTTTTCATGCCATCACTGAGCCACCTTCTCAGCACTGGCAGCCCTGCTGTCTGGGCAGCAGTAGTTAAACCTTCCTTCATGTTGCTGGTGCATTTGTGACCGCTAAACCCCACCGTTTTAAGCATTTGCTCAACCATGATGCTTTGATTTGCTTCTGAGCCTCCAAAGCTTTTATTCCTCAGCTGCAATTCCAAAGGCATACGCTCTTTGTGTTCGTTTCCGTTAAATGAAGCGTGGATGCTGTGCCGCACAGCGTGGTCCCCACGTGCCACCAGGGCACGGCCTTTTTCAATGACCGTGAGGAACCGTAGGGTAAGTGCTCAGGCTGGGCTGTACAAGGCACTGGCTCAGCTGACGGCCGCAAGCGCTGCTTGAGGACGGAGTCCCTCAAACGCAGCCTGGGGAAATGGTGAGATGATGGCAAACGTTTTGCCTTGGTAAGTGATCCTCCTGTTCATCCCAGCATCGAGGGATCCTGCACAGAGCCAAACCTGCATGGACAGAATTATCTATAGACTCACTGGATGAGCTGCTCGGGGTATTTATTATACACAGAAATCACCTGTGATGATCAGTAGAACTGGAACCATTCCCAAGTGTTTTCCTTCCAAGAAGAGTTTGATGCTGCACTGATGGTTCAGGCTCTCTGTTAATTCCTAGGTCACAGTTTTGACAACTGTCAGGCCACAGGCTCAGGGTCAGGCAGGTCACCTGGCCAGGGCATCGCAGCGGCTTGGCACAGATGATGGCTGCTCCTGTTAAATGGGGGACGTGGAAGTCCTTAAACAGCAACCTGTGGATGTTCCACAGAACTCCTTTTTACAATGTGTTTGGCAGTAAACTCACACTTTTTCATTTATTTACCAGGTTTTGTCTCCTTGGTTACTTTGATTTTTGGGGTTTCTTTTGGTCTTGCCTTACAGACTATTACCACTTTCCATCACCGAGATGCCTAGTGACATCTCTTCTATTTCTTGCTGTTCTTTTCCTGGTGCTCCTTTTGTTACCGTGGTCTTTGAGAACAGGATACTGTATGTGACAGGATACCTTATGTAGCTCTGGTTACTAAATGTGGGTTCATACAATGGTGTGAGGTTTGCTGCACCTGCCTCTGTTCACTGAGCATTACTTATCTGCAGCCACAGCAAGGAAAGGCAAATGGTTTCAGGGAAAGATCCAAAGTTCCTCCTACGTAGCCCTCCTAGGAGGAAATGCCTGACTTGGAACCCATCACTCCCTAGGACAGCCAAGGTTATCTTTCCTCCACGTGGATTACTTTTTGCCAATCATGAGGCATTCTGAACATCCTTCTCCGCAGTCAGACTTCCCACCAATAACTTTTATTTCGTGGGCAAAGATGTTTAACTGTGTTTAAGAAATGGTCCTTGCTTAACGTGCAGATCTGCTGCCCTTCTAGCGAAGAGCAGGTGAACTCAGGGGCACTTGTTCCTGAAAGAACAGAGGTCAGCCCCAGCAACAAAACATGGCTGCTCTGAGAGAGCAGCTTTTCAGTGTTGTGTTTTGGCCTTTTTTTAATAAACCACACACACACCTCCTTGCCCCTAAACAACACAAGCACCTGAGCAAAAACCAAGACATGTTCTTTGGACATTACCGACAGCAGCTGCTGCGCAGGGAAGAGCTGCAGAGCTTCAGGTAGTTTGTGGGGCCATGGGGAGGAGGAAAAGGTGATTGCCCTCAGGGTTCTTGCTTCCTGATGAGGAAGCAAGCTTCTCCAGAAGGAAGAGATCCTAACCTAGTGATGAAAGCCCTGTGCTGTAGTGGAGAAAAGCATCTTGGTTTAGACAGACAAGACCTGTCAACCCTTCTGAAGCTCTTCTACCTGGTTATTAGACCCTGCAGCAGTCAGACTAAGAACGCGCTGCACCAGTGACCTGTGCGAGTGCCGAACAATCTGGCAGAGCAAGTAACACTCCGTGACTAGGGGCTTCCTTCTGACTGCTCTCACCCGCTTCAAAGGAGCTGAAGGTTTATGCTGCCTCAGTGTCCTTTTCCAGAAACTAGGCGAGAGGAAAACTAGGAGAGGGGACAACAGCACCCTCAGAATGAGCTGAATGTTTTGATATGAAGAGAAGGAAGTTCTTTGGGTTGGGTTTTTTTTTATTATTATTAAAAACGGATTGGCCTTGGCTGAAAAAGTGCCTTACTGTTCTGTTAACTCAAGACATGTTTGTCGCTGCTGCTCTTGGCTTTTATGTGCTCACTAACACCAGCCTGTTTTCTCTTCCCGTTCGACTCAGAGCATGACTTGCTTCATCGTGACCAGAAGCAAATGACTCAGTACAAGAAGCCTCATCTAAACCGTATAAATTCACGTAGTTCTACCTTGCAGCACTGAGGTCTTTTTGCACTACCGCTACAGGCACGTCTTTCAAAGACACTACAGAAACAACTGTTGTAGAGGCTGAGCATGAGTTTCAGGGTAAGTGGCTTAAGCAGCTGGTTTTGCCCCACTCTTCTCAATGCAAACTGCACTGAGACAGTGACTCCCCAGGAAGATCCCTTGTACCAGGATTCTGTCATTGACATTTTATGGTTGAACACAATCGAAAGAGTCTTTTCCAACCTAAGTGATTCTATGATTCTGATTGCCTCTGTAGCTTGTTCAGAACTTTACCTAGGCACTTCCAATAAATACTCCCTTGTGTCCTCATAAGCTGTAGCAACTGTCGTGCCAGCCATCACCAGCGCATGTGTCCCTCAGACCTGTGAAGGCGCGCTCCTTCCTCTTTCCACTCAGCACCTGCATTAAGTTCTTGTCTCGAGATGATCACCGCTGTTAGGAGTCAGTGCAAAGATGAAGTCTTCTGGCAGTGACTGCGGCGTCATCTGTGCTAACTGGTCATCGTAAGAACCCAGAGTCCAGAGCTTCTCCAATTCGTAAGTCTCCCGTGTCTCCGGCAGCATGAAGTGCACCACTATGCTACCTGCACCAAAGAGAAAGTCACAATAAATTACTGTGACCTGTAAAGCACTACTACACTTCCAGCTGGCACAAGGAGTTCAAGCCTTCCGCCCCCATTCTGGCTAAACATGTAACAGGTCAGCTGATGGAAGGCTCTTAAGTTGCGGATTCCAGCTCGTGAAGAGAGTTAGAATTGGTCAGTCCTTCAAAAGGCTCCAAGATTACAGCCAGGGGACTGAGAGGGGCAATAGTCTGGTTTAAATTAAAACACCACCACAAGGCTCCAGATCAAAGAAGTTATGACTCTTAGGGCACAGAAGCAAGTACGCCGAAAGAAACAGTACTTGAAAGAATCCCCTCCCGAGGTTACAGCTGGACTTTCAGCTTCCCTGTATTATCAACAACATTCAGCTCTAGCCAATTCTCCTTCAGTGTGTTCCTCACACTGCTCGGGTGCTTTTATGATGAGACAGGTCCAAACTCTGATGTAGTAAAATTCTTCTTACAGGTTTTCATCAATTCTGTGCAAACAATACTAGAGAACATTAGTCTCAGTGCACTTCTAAAGCACTTTTTTCTAGCTCTACCCTATCAGTTTTCAGTTATAACCACCACAATCACTGACAGTAAAGTAAGCAAGGCTTAATGTCCCTGGCTGTAGCGCTCCTCACCCACCTACGCTCTCTTTTAGGCCAAAACACAAAGTTCGAGGGTGAGAGCCTAGAGCTAGTAGTGAAGGAGAAATGCTTTCTGAACTTGAGTCTTTTATGGTGGTGTAGAGTTTCATGCTTACAGAATAAAGAATTCAACTCAGTTTCTTAGGACTGAGGTTTTACCCCGTGTCGTGGCATGATCTGGACAGTGGAAAGCTCTGTTTGGAAGTTCGCTACCAGGGCAGCACCCACAGAGCCCCCTCTCTCCCTGACAGGGATTATAATACAATTAAAAAATTGAACAAAATAGCTTTTCTCTTTCCACTGCTGTTGCCTTCAATTTATTAAGACCTGTTTTAGCCACTGAAGAGTAGCTACTGCTTTCTACTCAGTGCTAACGATCTTTAGTGAAAATCTGTTTAGTATCTCAACTAGTTGAGTTTATTTAGTACTCAATGAGTACTCAACAGCAGAGTATTATTGTGACCTCTCCACAGCAACCGGGGTTCACAGTGAGATGTTTCCTTCAAAGAGCTCCTGCAGAACTTCATATCTGTCAGATTCACAAATATTTACCAAGATCAATGCACAGCCAGTCATTTCCCTTCAATCTGGGTATGAGGATCATTTTCTTCTTTGTGATGCTTGTACTGGGAGAGAAGCAATGGCAGAAAATGAAGTACTTGGCCTTTATTTAAAAGCATTCAGACCTAACATAAGCTGGACTTTGCTGAGTTGGTTTAAATATGAAATGGGTTATATTGCTCAGTGTTTGTTCTGGGGTCTGCACAAAAATTAATTATATACATTTGCAGCAGTGGAAAATGAGTACAGATTTCTCAGTGGGACTTAGTATCAGATTTGGCATTCCAATGCTTAGCATTCCCATACAGTTATGAATCTTATGGGTGTCCATTTTTTCTCAAGATCAATATTGAATACAATTGCTTAGCACTAGTCTTTCAGTTATAGGTCCCCTGTAACTGGCATTACACTGAGTTTTTCCTCCTTTCAGGTATTTTTCATTGTTGCTTTACACTGGCTAGTTCAGGATGCAGAAATGGAGGTGCCAAGCTTATCCTCTTCTCCAGTGGGGGTGGTGAAGAAAACAGGTTTCAACCCATGCCATGAGGAAGGCATTGAAACAAGCCTCCTGCCTCGAGAGCATGCTCTCAGCACTCTGCAAGACGGGGCGGAAAACACGACCAGCACACAGGTTTCCAGGCTACAAAGGACTGTGAGACAGGGGAGAGGGTAGCTCAAAGCTGGACTGCAAAAGCTCAGCTAGGGCGAGCTAGCTGGTTCCCTAAGCAACACAGCAGCTTTTGTAGATGCCAGCCTGAGAGGCCCAGCTCTCCAAACCAGATATAGGAAGCACCTAAGCACCAACCAGAGCTGAAGACATTGGACAATTAGAGGCTTAAGTACTGTCTTTTTCGGATCTGGCCCCAACCTACTTGTTTCTTTACAAAAAGCATTGATAGGACAAAAATGGGATGAAGTCAGCTGCATCTTCATAAAGCTCCTTTGTTCAGATTGCTACCTTATTTCTAGTTGAAGCAGCCAACAAAAAAACACCATGGAAACCTTTTTAATCTGAAATAAAATTAAACAAACAAAAAACCCCAAACCCCAGAAACAAAATCAAACATTTATTTCAGGACATGGCCACAAAGAAACTGAGAGTGAAACTGAAGGGCTCTAAGAGTGTTTTCTGCCATAAAAGACAAAGTACCAGGCTGTAACAGCGTGACTGGCTAGCGCGTGAGCCCCACTTTGCTGGGAAAGCAGTTACTGCAAAACGCAACTGTTTCTGGTGCTTCCCACACAACGCCAGCTGTCGGCCAATGGCCCCAGTCTGCAAACCTGAATGGAGAACTTTCAACTTGTAATTCAGACCCAGCTGTACCTTCCTTTCTTTAAGATCGCCTGTGGGATGTCCTCAAAAGCAGGTAAAAGACAGCCTGAAAGTCTGCTTAAAATACTAAAGAGCCCAGCATGCCCAGCCATGGGCTATGTAACAGGGGTTGGAAAGGCTGATCTCCACTACAAGTGTCCTTCAGCCTTGTCTTTAAAGGCCGTGTAATGGTGAACAGACTATAATAAACTCGAGTGTTAGCTTCTACCTCAAGCTCAGAAGATTTCTTCAAACTGAGCAGCTCACACTTGGCCAAACAGTGCAAGATTCCTGTGGAAGGATGGCTGCTGCTGCCTCTCCTTTCCTCCTGGACATGCACAGTGTGGTGACTATTAACTAGCACTTTGCTTTAGTAAGCCCATAGGGCATCCTGTGCCTCATAACATCCTGCCTGTTTTCCAGCCTTACGATATACCTGAGAACCTGGAAATTGTAGTGGTTAGTGTTCAAGAACAGTCAGACTAAGCCATGTTGAACGAGTGGGAATAGCTATCAAGTTTGCTGGATGGAAGACAAAAGTGGACACAGGCTGTCATCACCATTTCATATCACTCTTGCTCTAGCCACCAAACCGTGCTAATATCATCACCCTTCTAAATACAGAGGTCTGTTTTTAAAATGCATTCTCTACATTTTGAGTAGTGCTGCTAAAGGAGAAGAATACAATTAGTTGCTAGATGCATCCAGGACTAAATGACACAAGGATGATTAGTTTCATCTTGCCTGGTACAATCCTACATGTGCAATCCTCGGGAAGTTCCTTTAATTTAAAACCATTTCCCAAAACCCAGAGAGTGCAGCGGGAACCGTCTTACCATTTTCAGCATGTACTGTGCCATTGCATGGAGATGTCGTGTTGAAGATCCACTCACAATTATAAAATAATCACAGTATTTCATTTCTGGAGGTAGCTGGATGACACAGATGTCTTTAGCATTTTCTTGCCTCAGCAGAGCTACAACAAAGTCAATGTTGATCTTTGGAACAGCCATATCTGGAGCAAACAGAAAAAATAATACAGTGGCAATTTATCTTTTTAATTGCAAAAACCAACCACTTAAGAAGACCTAAAATGGCAATGAACTGAATTTACAGCCTAAACTAGCCACTCATTATGGAGTTTGGTTTGATACTGATGATGCAATGTGAGCTGCAGCTTTTTAAAAATCATTTTAAAAACTATCAAAGTTGAGAACAAAACACCCTTCTGGTAAATAACACTGTCACTAGATACAGCACTTAGAAATCAAAGTTTCTTTTCGGTAACTTTGGTCTTGTTGTTACAACTTAAGAGTCAATGCCATCATCAGATATCTGTCAGTTAAGATGAATGAAACCTAAGTGCTTCAATGACATCACAACAAGAGACAAAAATATTTCAGAACAGTGCTTTTCAACAGGCCTGTGATAATATATGGTGATGGAATTACTCTAAAACCTTTAGTAGATTAAATCAATGTGTTGAAAATGAAGCCATTGTGACGCAGCGTGGAGGGACTTTTTATCTTCACACTGAGTAAAGTCACTTCTCTTCCTTCTTTGATGACAAAGCTTTAGTCCTTCAACAGTTTAAGCAAACCAGCTTACAAACTAGTAAACAGCACAACTACCTGATGTTCACACTATCAAATCACTTTATTTCTAATTTGCCCTAATTAGGTAGATGCAACTTGTGTATATACTTAAGGCATAATTTGGATCTGTCAGCAATGCATGCCTGCCACTATAAATTGAACCTTAGTGCAGACTGAGCACCAGCACAAAGCCACGCTTTATATTTACCAATATAAAGAAAAAGGCAAACAAAAGAACAATAGCTATATATATTTATATGCATGAACGGGGATATGAAACGGGATTAGATCTCTGTAAAAGAAAGCCTTTGGGCTTTGGGACTTGTGCTCTTTCAACTTTTGCTGTGGTCACACATGCAGAAAATTAGCAGTGGCCACAGCCCGTCCAGGCACAGTGGTTACAAAAGTTAAATATTTGCCTAGTAGCCACAAGTGAAGTCTGTAGTGCCGACTTAGAGAACGAATGGTCTAAACAACCCCAGGCACACTCTGCCATGCCGAACATCACGGTCAGATCTAGGCTAGAGAAGATTTGCAGAACAGCTACCACAACAAACCAGCTCTGTGACTGCACTACTTAGACCCGTAACCAGCCACGGTGCTACCAAAACTGTTATTTATACGGGGCTCTGCGACGGTACATTAGAGAAACACGCCTCCAACTCGGCAGCACTACTGTCACCGAAGTTCCTGTACGTATCTACACACGTAGATCGGTCGGTCTGCCTCAGCTACCGACCGCCCCGTTTACAGCGGGACTTGGGAGGCGACGATGGTTCAGCACAGACGCCGCGATCCTAAGGCCTAGGGTCTCAGCCAAGGTAAGGGCGATTCCATCGCTCTAGGCACCCCCGGGATCCTCCAGCAGCTGCAGAATGAGATCCCATAGCCCCGAAACGGCTACTTTCTTCCCGAGGCGCCGCATTTCGCTCAGGGCACCGTGTCACAGGGCTTGGGAGCGCAGGGCAGGGCCAGGGCCTTCGCGCCGGCAGCCTCCTCAGCACCCCGCTCGGGCCTGCCAGGCCGGCGCCTCACCTCACGCGGAGCAGCCCTTTGACAACACCTAGAGAACGGCTAAGCTTAACAATCAATGAGAACCAGACCGAAGAACCATGCGGGAAGTCAAAAGGACCACGACCGGTGTCGCGGACCGAGCTCGCC